AATCAAAAGCATCGATATTTAAAATAACTTGCCTAAAATGAATAATACTAAACTCCATTTTGAGCAAAACGGAAGCGCATTACGATAAGATGAGCACTTATAAGAAAATGTTTTATCAAGTGGTGGCTAGACTAGAATGTAGAATATTGATTAGCTTTGCTGTAATTATCCACTCTTTACCATGAGGAAATAGCAAAAAACAGAACTATTTGAGATCATGATGAATGCTTTTACTCACAGATCGAAAACCCGTCTGGACAGCATAACCACGAATGTAGGCAATAACCTATATTAGATGAGCACTCTAGAATGTATAGTGTAGAAGTGACAGCTGAATTTTCAATGTTGATAAGAATAAAGCTCACGGGAGGAATTGAATTCCGCTTAGTCTTGCATATTGAGACCTGCTCATAGAATTTCGGGAACATTTAAACATCAGTCCTTTATCGCATCATGCGAGGGGAATAATAAAGCGCCTATTTAAGATCTACTGGTAGTCTCGAAATATATCCGTTCTGAACATAAAAGCATTTATGTTTGTGCATCCCCAAATTTGGATGAGGGAAAATCTGTTAGTCCTGGAGAATATCATTTTGAACTAAGCAATGGGAAGCATGTCTAAAAAAAATGAAATTTATATGATTGGCCCTAAACTATTTGGCAATGGAATAGCTCAAGGTCTAACGAATAATTGGACTATAACGCATTACTTATAGAAGTGTATGAAAGGAAGCCAAATAAAAACCAATTCTGAAAATACGAAGTCGTCTGGGAGGCCAAATTCAAGCTTTCTCACAAGACATCAAATCTTGCTTCATAAAATGAGAATTACTTAAATCATAAAAATACTGTCTAGATAACCCAGTGTATATTTCCGAGTGAAACATTTTAAACCTAATTTTAGACAGTTTCTTGCACGAGCAAAAATAACTGAAATAAGTAATATAGATTAATAACGCTTATTGAATAAGCGAATAAATTAACACACGTTTCTAGCCTAAGCTATCAAAAAACCACTGCTAACTAAACGCATTGCTAAAGACAAGAAGGATATCACTAAGCCCGAAGTAAGGCATAACGGATCTTCAAGCAAATAATAAAAGTGATATAGTTTAAGGAAAATAGGCTAATAGAAGTCTTCATCATATGTGATAAGATGCGAGTTATTGAGAGAATAATAATGATTAAAAGCAACTAATACACACGATGGCAGGAAATGAAATTCTTGGATAGTATAAGAGGCAAGGTCAGTTTTGAAAAAGGCTTTATTCCTCTTTTTAACCTAAAGCGGCAGGAAATACTTATTTTATAAGAAAGGTAGGTTCATGAATTATTGAGTCGATGGAATGAGGAAAAGGAAAAATAGAGAAAAGTAGAATTAACTCAAATGCCTAGGCGGATATATGAGTTGCATCAAATCAATTTAATGGTTGAAAGACCAACTTTATTCAATCTGCACTTCCTCAAAATTCAGCATTCATAAGAGTGGTTGAGAACGAGAAAATAACAACCAACCAGGAGGCACAGAAAAAGTATCAAATGTTGAGATAAAAAAGGAAATAAGCAGGGAAAATTTAAGCAAGATTTATTGGAACTCATACTCAACAAGTACGCGATGGAGAACATGGTAACCGTATTGTAAATGAGAAACCAATCCGAAAGCCTAAAAACGAAGGGGTCGAATAAAAATAGTGTGGAATGGGAATTAAGTAGTTAAAAGAGATGCAAATAATTCCAAATACAGATAACGAAGCCGAGAAGGAAATATGCTCAAAGTGGATAACATGTGAGGGTGCTAGCGAGTGGATATGCAAAATAAGGTCCACATTATACGCCAACATAGATGCATGAGAATAAGATCACAATATTGTGTAGACGTTTGGAAAACGAGAGACATATAATAATATGAAAATGAGAAAGCAAGTATCGGAGATATAAGTTATGGAGCAGTTTGTAAGGGACAGGAAAAATTCACACAATCGAGGGACAAAGTTTAATCCTAAAATCAACATGGTAGTATAAGCTATGATATGGAGGATCAGGGATACTTTAGATAAAACAACAGAATAATCAAAGATATGGAGAAAAAGTCCAAATTTTATGAATATGCGAAAAGAATGGGTGAAAAGTTCAAAAGTTATATTCGACAATGGGAATTTGGAGAACTCGTAGATCTATTCATACGTAGTACCATATGAATGTCAACACTTGCCGTTAGCTGACAGATCGAAATGCTTCCCTTGGAATGGGTCGAAAGAGAACGGCGTATTAAGCAAGACAAAGAAACACCAGGATGAAACTAAAATCAAGATATTTATTTATTTATTTATGGTTCCCAGGGTAGTTTCAAAGCTGATTGGAGAATCGGGTATATATCGTTTTGGTGGGACTCGACGTAGCCTTACAAGGCTGATTAGAAAGACTAGGAGAAAAGCAGGAAAGCCAAGGATGAGAAAAGAACGAGTTTGCAAATGTATGAATAAGTAATTTTTGGAGTTAAAGTGGACTGGAGTTCATTTTAGTTATTTATTACAATCGTTATCAGTGATCAAGGGAGAGGAAAGCCTGTCCAGTTGGTATGATTAAAGATTGACAGAGGAATAAATATATGCAGTGAAAACTGGGAAGAATGGGTGAAAATAGATCGGAACACGAGGCATCTTATTCTAAAAACCAGAGTGGAAAGACTTGGAATATTGACGTGCTAGGTGCGGTGTGATAGAAAAATGGAGAGGCTTTGAGCTAGGAATCACATGAGTAAACAAAATAGTCATCATATTTGGATATTCGTCACTGTGCGAGAAGCAGATGGAAGACAGCATGAAGTCATGACTAAATTTTAGAGTTTAATGTCCGATAGACTAAACAAAATTCACATTTACAGAAAGGCAAATTGGAGAAAAAATGGAGTAGCACCATAGAAGGCACTCAAAGATTGAGAGAAGAGGGCAGGCCAGAGTCAAAGACATCATAACATGAGGACAAATTCTCGTAGTCTTTAAGAGTCAAAAGATGAGGTCATGGCAACGGTTTGAAAGCAAATAAGTGACTGCCTAAAATAAAAAATCCGAAATTAGCCACATTCCAGCGACACGTAGCTATGAAAGAACAATTAATTACAAATAGTCATATGCCATTAGGGATATATCATATTTGGTCAACATATGTCCAAGTGAAAGCATGAATATATGTAAATAATTGTGCTGGAAGTGCTTGAAATTAAATGCCTTGATAAGACGCAGATGTCAATTAGGAGTTTTAGGAAATGAAAAAAGTTTATATCATTGTTATACGAGAAGAAATCCAATGCTAAAATGTTAATTGGTTAATGCAAAAATAGACTCTTCAGTGTCGGCATCAATATGATGATAATAATAAGAGCGAGTCTCGTGAAAACGCAGCGACAAGACCAATACACCAAATAAAGGGGAAAATCGAAAAGGATGATGGAATGTCAGTCAACGCCAGTAGGATAAAGGGTTGAGAAAAAAAAGTTAACTAGGCCCGAAATAGTACTGAATCATCACAACGTTATGAAATTAGAGTTGACTAATGTTCGACTTAGATGGCATAAGAACAGGACCTAGCACGATTTCAATCAAGAACTAAGATAGTACTGATGAGAAAATAAGAAGTCTAAATGGAGCAGTAATTGAACGACTAGTGAGCCAAAGTAGTAGAGACATGAGCATGCAGTGGATAAAAAATGAATGAATACGAGGGGGCAAGGGGCAAAGATTAACGCAAAGATTAAAAAAATATAACGCCATGAAATAAGTCGAGGGCAAAACCTTGTGCAGAAATAGTATTCAAAAAGAGGTACTAATAAAATGCTGTTTTAAGGGTGAAAACGGAAATCGAATAATGCATATAATTAGCTTTATAGCGCATAGATCATTAAGTTTACAAAGGATGAGGGAGAACGTGAGTAATTATAGCTCAGACAGAAATAGCAATGACGAGCCAAACAGCGAACTACAATAAACATGGCATGTACTGTGCTTTTGTTAAGTTGAACTCAATAGCTCAACATGGCAGAGCATAATTACATGGTACGCAAGGCAAGAAGTGGAATGGACAGAAATAAAAGCTAATGCGAGTCAGATTATGTTTACTTAAGATGGGAAATGAAAGAAAGGGTAAGTGCGGGAGAGGCATGGAATCCAGCCAAGTTCAGCTTTGTGGTGGAGCCTCTTGATCAATCTGTCTTAATGCCGCCCAAAACCAAAATAAGTTGAATTTTTTGACGGCATTTTCTGATGGATTAATAGTGTAGGCAGCAATTAGATGAGCACTTAGCTTAGTTTGGTTTCTCTTAAATACTGCAGGTAGTGGTCTCTGATCATATGATTAAGATATACTCATAAATAGAAGCATACATAAGGAGAGTCAAAAAGATAGTGATGGATAGAAAGACATGCCTCACAACTAAAATAGAAATGTGATCATGATAAATATGTATTTAAATGCATTTTTTTCTAAAGCAACGCTTAACTTCCATTCTACGTTAGGGATTAGGCCCTATATCGCTCAAGAACTGAGAGATTGAGATCAATGCCAAAAAGCCCCATCTGAGCTGC